TCTTCTGCAACCTGACCAGCAGGTACAGTTAGAACTTGCTGTCCATCTTGCATAGTTACAATAAATGACTGGCCAATGGCTCCAGTAGGGATTGCAGTTTGGATATTACCCAAAGGGACTCCATCAGTTACTATGGTGATGACTCTCTGGCCTCCACTCCCCACCACTTGCTGGATTGATGAGTCAACAGAATTTCCCTGCACGATTTCCTCTGAATTGGCTAGAAATAATAAAAGTAAAATTTCAGCTTTTTCAAAACAGGAGTGTAACAATTTCATCCTCCTTGAAACTGATATTATTAAGGGAGAGAGAAAACTGCAAAAGAAAAAAAGTTAGGCTTGGCTCAATGATCACAGAAGTTTTTGTGGATAATGTGAAGTCAGAGGAGAAAAGAAAATAGAGAATGCACTAGAATAGTTTTTTTTTTTTGGGGGGGGGTACTGTGAATTGAACCCAGGGTGCTTTACCACTGAGCTACATCTCCAGCCCCCACCCCACATCCCTGCTTTTTAAAATATGGTGCTGAGGATTGAATCCAGTGCCTCACACATGCTTAGGCAAGTGCTTTTACCACTGAGCCACAACCTCAGCACCCTATCCCTTTTTATTTTGAAATAGAATCTCACTAAGTTGCTTTGGGCCTTGATAAATTGCTGAGGCTGGCCTTGAACTTGAGATCCTCCTGCCTCAGTCTCCTGTGTTGCTGGGGTTACAGTTATAGGCCATGGCATATGGTTTAAAAAAGTACTTTCTACAGTGTTTTTATTAAGTTTATTAGTAGCTTTCAATAAAGATGATTTCAATGTATAAAATATTAATATGTTTAAACTTTTTTGTTTATTTTGTACTAAGTATCAGAGGCTTCAATAGGCTAATGAGCATTGTGATTTTCCTATAGTGTATAAATTATGGTGATTTTAACCAATATATTTGGAATCCATTTTTTTTTTTCCTTCTCTTACTGTTTTCTTTTTTATACTGGGGATTGAACCCAGAGGTACTTTACCAATAAGCAACATCCCTAGCCTATTTTGTTTTTTATTTAAGTCAGGATTTTACTAAGTTGCCAACACTAATCTTGAACTTGCAATCTTCCTGATTCACCCTGCTGGGTCATTGTGCCAGGCTTAGAACCTTTTTTTTTTTTCTCTATACAGTGAATCAAACCCAGAGGTGCTCTGCCACTGAGCGATATCTCCAGCTTTTATTTTGAGATAGGGTCTCGCTAAGTAACCTTGAATTTGTGATCCTCCTGAGCTGCCAATAATATACATGTGGGCCTCTTTAGTCTCCTGAGTTGCTAGGAATATAGGTATGGTCCACTGCAACCGACTCTTGGAACCCTTTTTTAGTGAGATTTTTTTTTTCTTTTGGTCGTACTAGAGATTAGGGCCTGCACATGCTAGGATTGTGCTCCTCCACTTAGCTACATCAACAGCCCTTTGTGAGCATAAGTAGTCAAAGTATTGAAGATAGTAAACAAACTGAATGACAGGTATTTTCTCCCATCTGATAGATCAACAAGAGCTAACATTTACTGACTACTTTATGTGCCAGCTACCAGTCTAAGAGTTTTACATGAGTTATGTTGAATCAAGATTTTCAGTCTTGGGCTGGGGATGTGGCTCAAGCGGTAGCGCGCTCGCCTGGCATGCGTGCGGCCCGGGTTCGATCCTCAGCACCACATACCAACA